CAGAGCTGGAGCTCGTGGGTGGAGCGGGCCGACCTGCCCGCGGCCGACGGTGAGTACAGCCACCCTAGAGTCCGGGGACCCCATCACTGTGTCCCCTCCCCCCCTCCGGGCCCCCGCCTGCTGAGGGGAGCCGCCGACTGGAGCCGCCGTCCGGCTCCCCGGCCCCCCAAACAAAGGACCCGCCGGGTCCTAGTGCCCGCCCGCTCCGCCACCTTCGCGCCTCCGGGTCCTAGCGCCGGCTCACCGCTAGCAGCCCACCCAGCCCACCTCTGTCTCTGCTGGTGCCCAGTACCTGCCCCTGTATTTACTTGCCTTTATCTTTATCCGTGTCTCCTGGCCTCCAGCTTCCGCCCATCCTGCACCTGCTCTGGCTCTTCCCAACCGCAGCAGTCCTCTCCACGTGTTTCCCACGCACCCCACTTCTGTGCCCCCCTTCACACCCCCTTGTTCCTTAGCCTTTTGCCCTACACCTCCCGCACCTTCTGGCGTTTGCCAGCTGGCCGCAGTGCTGCTGGACCCCCGCCCTCTCTGCATTAGTTCATCCATCCACCTATCCATCCTCCCACCCTCCCTCTCTCCTTCAGTCCATCCATCCATGCCTCTCTAGCCCTCCGTCCTTTCCCGGGCCTCTTGCGCTGCCTCTTGGCCCTGTCCCCTGACCCCCACCTTCTGTAGGCTCCTGAGTGTCTGTGGGGAATAGGCCTACAGCCCCTTCTTCTGATCTTTGTCTCCTGGGCCCCAGGGAGCATCTGGCCTCATGGCCTTTGGGGGTGACAGCAGGCATCACGCCCCAAAAGAAGTTTGCAAGTGAGAAGAGGTGGAGTAGGAGACCTCATGGAGCTGTCTCAAATGACACTTGTTCTCCTTCGAGGCTCCTGGCTGCCAGCTCCCTTCTGTCCATCATTCCCCACACTTGCCTTTGACAGACTTGAAAGAGTGGGAGCTGCCCCCTGTCTCTTGCGTGATTGACCCACCACCTCTCATATCAGTATATTATATAAGATTGTCAACAATCTTCCCCTCCTAGAAAGGGGTATATTGTTAGTGGGCATCTGAGAGCAGACCTAAGTAGGAGCATGGGCCGCCCTGGGACTGCCCCATGCTGGTGGGCATGGATGAGGCCATTGTCAGGGTCTGGGTGCATTGAGAACCGGAAATGGAGTCAGACGGGTTTGGTGACTCAGAATTGATTTTTTTTTTTCAAGGGACAGGGAGGGGGCGAAGAGAAGGGAGGGGGAAGGAGTAAGGTAGGGGGATGGGGAAAAAGCTGCTTTGAACAGCTAAGATGTTTTTGTCATTAACCCAGAAATTGAGGTACAAGGGCAACCAGCGAACAAGAACAGCCCCCCAGGAAGGGGAGAGGCTCACACAGCTGACCAAGGAGACTTTGAAGATGCCAAAGGGTCTAAAGACAGTAGTCTCTCTCTTCTTTAGCCATCCTGTCAATGCAAGACCTGAGAAGCTGGGTATAACTTTGACAATGCTTTGGTAACTCAGGTGGAGCAAAATTGAGTTGGAGGGGGTGCTGGAGAGAATCTTAGAGTAGCAGAGTAGCAGAAAAGACCTGTGTGAGAAATCTCAAGAAGGGACTGAGGCATCTATAGAAAAATTTCAGGGCTATTTCACC